AAAAAAAAAAAAAATCTAAAATACTTCTGGACTCTAGCATGTAGGCACTAAGGGATACTCAGTCGGTATTTCCTAAGGCAGTAACTGACAGCTGTCAGCTGAGGAATGTACTGAGCTGATGGCTGCAGCACGGCTTGTGGGAGTGAAAAATTGGAAGTGATTTCAATGTCCATCTGTGGGGGGGCTGTGTTAAATAAATTTAATAAATTCAAACTGTGGAGCTGTTTAAAAATGATGATGGAGACAATTGCTTATTAACACAGAATGATCGTCATGATACAGTTAGGAGGGGTGGAAAGCAGGTGTGCATCTGTGTTGTCCTGGTCTTCAAAAAACCAAGAACAAGATTGCATATGTGCTCAGGAAAAGCTGTGAGAACCTCATGCCTTAATCACCACGTTACCCAGAGCTCTCTGGGCGGCAACCTTATGAGTTACTTTTTTATTGTCCTAGTTTTCTGTTATGTATACATTTCTTAGGAGACAGTGGCTTCCATGGTGGGGTGGGAGAGGCAGTGTGATGTGGGTCCTAAGGCCACACATGCCCCACCGTTCACAGATGGCTCTCAAGGGCTGGCTTCACGCTGGAGGACCAGGAGCTGCTACACTCAGGGCAGGCAGAGCTGGTGCTGAGGGGCACTCAGCAGTCAGAAGCCAAGTGCACCCGAGAACCCGTCACCTTGACGTGGCCTGTTGGACTTGGGCACCCTTCTGAGGAGCCTTGCAGTCGCTCTCCAGGTCAGGGTGGCCTTGGTAGCCATTGTTTATTTCTTCTTCTTATCTGGCACTTCCTTCCCCTCCGGGCCTCCAGCCTGTGGGACCCTGGGAATCCATAGTGATGTCTGACCCACTGAGGATTTATTCACCAACTCAACCATGATTTCGTGGTCATCTGTATTGCTTTTGTAATTGCTTGGGGCTTTCAGTATGGAGTAGGGGCCAGCAGAATGGTGTGCTGACTTTGGGCGAGTTGCTGACCTTAGTTTTCCCACCTGGAAAGTGGGGATAATAACAAAGCTTCTGTTATCACCGGATGCTTCTGGGAATGGGGAGGAGACTCTTCACTTTTGCACTTTAGACCATGTGTGTGCATTGCCGGTTGAAAGAAATAGATGTGTGTTGTAGGAGGGCTCTGAGAAGGTCGGAAAGGGTTTCCCAAAGGGGACTCCAGGAGGCATTTATCTCACCAGACAGGTTCTATCTGTTCAAGAGCCACACAAAAGCCCTTCTACACAGGCTGGCTCAGAAGGAGAGATGAGTGATTCATGCCAGGGACATGGTCTGGACTTGGTAGGCTCAAGCTTGACCCTCTGGAGTATCAGGAGATGACCACTGTCTTCTTACAGAAATAGATGCATGTCACTCAATGAGTAGTGAGTTCGGAGCCGTTAAGTGCTGAGTTTATTCAGACTCATAACTAGGATTGAGGTTCTCTAGAAAAATCATTCAGGCAGATTCCAAATGGTAAGGGAGCACTATTTGTTCTATTTCCCTGTTGGGGAACCCTGTGTTCATCATTAAAGGCTCTGAGAAGTCCTGCAGTAATGGAGCTTGGTTTAACCTAGTGTTTCCCAAGTATACATGATCATGGAGTTCCTCCCTTTTTTTCCTGAACCCTGATTTGTTTGTTTGTTGTTTTTTGGAGACAGGGTCTCACTCTGTCTCCCTGGCTAGAGTGCAGTGGTGACATCAAGGCTCACTGCAGCCTTGAACCCCTGGGTTCAAGTGTTTCTCCTGCCTCAGCCTCCTGAGTGGCTGAGACTATAGGTGTGTACCACCACACCCTGCTAATTTCTTTATTCTTTGTAGTGATGGAGTCTCATTATGTTGCCCAAACTCCCGGCCTCAAGCTATCCTCCTGTGTCAGCCTCCCAAAGTCCTAGGATCACAGGTGTGAGCCCCCGTGCCTGGCCACCTGGCCCTGTTAATATCCCACAGTGATAATGTGGTACAGAGGAAGTTAGGGAAGTGGGAAGCACTGTCTTAGAGAGATCAGGCCCACTCTAGTCTTCTGATTTCAAGTTCTTACATTTGAATAGGGTATCAGTCCCCTGGTTGTAAAGCTGTTCACGTGTATCAGGCAGCAGCGGTGACGGTGAGCATCAAATCTGTAGAGAAGCTGCTCTGTGCCTGGCATCCGGCCTTGGGGCTTTGCATTCATTTTGGGTCTGATCCTCATGCCCACCCTGTGAGGTGAGCACTGCTTCCATGTTCTGCCTGGCAGTGAGGAAACTGAGGGTCAGCGAGGTCGATGTGTCCAAAGGGGTCCGAGGGGACGGACGCTGGATTCAAACTTGGGGTTGAGTCTTCTGTTTGGAACTTTGGCCTGCTCTTCTCTGGAAAGGTGACATCATTCCTTCACACACTCCCACCCCTCATTGCCAAATACCCTGAGTATATTTCTTTCATCAGAAAAGAGATTACGGAGCACTTCCTGTTTTTTGAAGTAGGCATTAAAAATTTAGGGGCCTGATCTCAGTTGCTGCTCTGAATTCTAATCGGTGGCTCTCTCAGAGATTTGCGTCCTTTCTGTGTCTGCTGCAGAGATTGTCTCATCTGCAAAACCCTCCGGGAAGACATTCCAAGTACTGTGAAGTGCCCAGCCTGGCTCTTCCTCCAGCTTCTGTCTCTCTGCCTGGGAACCTTGAGGGGAGGGATTGGGCCAGAGGAAGGCAGGTGACATCTTTTGGGCACTTTCTGGGTACCATGCCAAGCACTTTTAGCTTCCTCAGCAGCTTTGCTGGCAACCACTGTAATCACACTTCATGAGTGAGGAGACTCAGGCTCAGAGAGGTTAAGTAACTCACCCAAAACTGCACAGCAAGTATATGGAAACAATTGTTGATTCTACCTTAACTGCAGGGACGAGTAAGAGAGGAGAGCCTGGGTGGCTGTGCTGGGGGTAACTGGGGCTTAGAGGGGCTCCTCAGGGCCCAGGGGGCTGCATGTCCCAGCCTCAGAGAGTCTTCTGCCCTGTCAGTCCTGTTCAGGGTGAGGGTGGGCCTCCTCAGATTCCTGGGGATCTGCCCAGCCTTCAGGGGTGCCCCTATCTCCAGCTTTAGGGTGACTCACCTCACAGCTTCCCCAGGGGAGTGACAAAGGGATACTTTGCACCTGCTTGGGACCTGGCTGGCATCGTCAGACCCCTCTGGGCTCCTAGAGTCTCTGGGAGGAACTGTGGGCCAAGAAGGGCTCCCAGGTGGCCCGAAACCTAAGGAGGAGAGAACTGAGGCAGGAAAGTGGTAGGAGAAGCCAGTGGCTGTGCTCTGGGAGCAGCCAGACCAAGCCTGAAGGATCACTTCTGAATCCCTCTCTGACACAATGACACACATGAGTGAGAGGGGGTGGCTGGCGAGGAGGGGGCTCAGAACAGCTGAGGAACCAGGGATGTTTTTTTGAGAAGGTGGGCTCTGGGTGGGGTACCGAGAGGAGAGCTCGGTGGCAGGGGAGTGGTGGAGAGGCACCTGCAGTGGGAGAGGGTCCGTCCCATGTAGCTCCAGGGCTTAGGCCAGGGAGGAGGTGGCCGTCACAGGCAGAACTAGCAGAGACTGAGGGCTCCTGGGCTTCTGGCATTGGAAGTTTCCCAGGAGGGGCTGGAAAGGATTAGGGTGGGCAGGGGTGTGACCAGGCATCCCCAGGATTCTGAGTCGTGGAGGATTCGGGCAGTAACAGAATAGTGACAGAGGCGGGGACAGTAGACAGTCTCATAAGCTTATCTTTGATGCCAGGTCTATACTGAGGGCTGCAGGTGCGTCCCCCACTGAGAGCTATAGGAGGGAAGTGGGAGAACGTGGGGCTGTCTTTAAAGTAGGTGTGGAGAGGTCATGGGGCTTAGCTGCCAGCTTTCCTGAGTCCTAGGAAGGTAAGTGACCGCCCTGTGCCATCAGCCAGGGAGGGCAGAGCCGGAATTCCCACTTGCACTCAGCCTTTCTCCCATCTCTCATGTCACAGGGAGGCACATGGGGGAAGCTGGGCCCACCTGAGTACACAGCACATCGAAGGCTACTCTATGTCCTGTGCTCTAAGCAGCTTTCTCCCCCCAAGGTCTGGAAGAGGTCAGGGGCCTGGTTCTTCAAAGGTCTCCCCAAGTATATCTTGCCCCTGAAGACCCCTGGCCGATCCGAGGATCCCCACTTCCGACCCCTGCCTGTGGAGCCAGCAGAACAGGAGCCCAGAAGCACTGAGACCAGCCGCGTTTACACATGGGCTCGAGGGAGAGGTAAGCCCCCTCTGCCCTCTCTCCTGGGGGGGGACTCTAGCATCTGGGCCATCAGCCAGCCAGACAGTGCGTGGGCATGAGGACAGAGTCCCACGCGCCCCTATGCAGCTCATTCCTGTGCTCCACCCCACCCTCTACTCTCAGCCACCTTCCACCTGCACCTGGGCCAGTGTCTCAGACCTCTAGCTAGAGATTGTCCCCTCTATGCAGAGATGCAGCGGGAGGGTCCACCAAGGTCATTTCACAAACAAGTCCTAATCTGGGAGCAGGGATGCTGTGAGCAGCACTGTGGGTCTTTGTAGGAATGTGGTGCTGTTGAGGTTTTTGCAAAATATAAAAATTATCTTTCCGGGTGGTGCCTGTGGCTCAAAGGGGTAGAGTGCTGGCCCCGTATGCCAGAGGTGGTAGGTTCAAACCCAGCCCCGGCCAAAAACTGCAAAAAAAAAAAAAAAGAAAAAAATGCATCTTTCCTAGGCAGGCCCGTCTCTTTCTGACACTTGTCTTGTGTCTCAGTAAGGGAGGGCTCCTGGCTTCCCTGGTCCTAATGAACAATGTGACTTTGTGCCAGTGCCCCTAGGTGTTTGGTGGCTTCACTGAGGTGTACGTGCCCCAGATGGCCACCATGAGAAGGTGAGCTCCGCCCCACCTGGCAAGAACGCCACGCTGGTCCCTGGTGTATAGATGACTCTTCACAGCTTCCATGATGCTTTAATGTTCACGGCTTTATTTTTAAAGTTCATGGTCTCACAACAGGCTCAGGAGGTGGCCAGGCGAGGCATTTAATAGTCCCATTTTATAGATAGGGGTCCTGAGGCTAGAGAAGAGGAGGACGTCCTCAGCTGGTATGTGGCAGGGCTGGGATCCAAACAGGCTCTCACCCTCTGGGGTGTGGGTCCTTCTGTCCCGAAGTGCCCATGATTCAGCTCAATCCTCGGGATGGGGGTGGGGAGGCAGGTGTAGACACAGCAGGTAAGGAGTCCCCGAGGGTGGACCCTGGCCCTGGGGGTGCTGGGGCCTCCTCCATCCTTCCCCTCGGTTGCCCTCAGGGCTGGGGCTTTCTCCTTCTCAGCCCTGTCAGGGCGTGTTCATGCCCCTCACACCGAGGGAAGAGACGTGACCATGGAAACAGAAGTTGGTGGACGTTGGTGGATGTGGGATGTTGATTCCAGCCAGCTGAGGAGAAGAGGCCTGAAGCCTGTAGGGACAGCTGTAGCCTAACTCCCTATTCCAACGGCCATCCCCGCCCTGCCTGGTCCCGATCAGTACGTGCACACACATTAACGTGCGTGCACACACACACCCTGGGGAGGAGCAGAAGCCTTGCTGCTTCCTCGGCCACGCAGACACACAGATGGCCTCTTAATTAGGTGGGTGAGGAGGCCAGTGGCCCCGCGCAGTTGGGGTCAGCACCACTGATTACAGAGTCTG